TTTTTGTATATAGTGTGAGGCAGGGTTGCGACTTCATTTTTTTGCATATGGATATACAGTTGTCCCAGCACTATTTATTTAAAAGACTCTTCTTTCCCCCATTGAATTATCTTCCTTGCCTTTTTCAGAGTAGTTTTACTTTTACCTCAATTTTCATTACTTCCAAGTCAGTCTCTACTAATTGTGCCTTTCACTCAAGTTCAAAGTGCACATTTCCGGATAGAGCACTGGCTGCCAGATAATTAGTGAAAACATGTGACAATGAAGTCAATTCTGAGACAATTTACTCAATGTCTATGAAACATCTTCCAGGATGAGTGATCACAGCAAGCTGCTGGGTCTATGAAAAGATGAATGATTCTGTGTAAAATCATCTTAGTTTCCTTTTACTATATAGATTGGATTTCTTGAGGTTCTATGTCCAGTAGGTTTGCTCCAAGGTGTTTTATTTATTTATTTTTTTTTGAGGATTTTATTTATTTGACAGAGAGACACAGCGAGAGAGGGAACACAAGCAGGGGGAGTGGGAGAGGGAGAAGCAGGCTTCCCACTGAGCAGGGAGCCCGATGCGGGGCTCGATCCCAGGACGCTGGGATCATGACCTGAGCCGAAGGCAGATGCTTAATGACTGAGCCACCCAGGCGCCCCTTAAAGCTGTTTTAGGTAGCAAATCTCTTGCCTATTTATTTGAATTGACTTTGGATAGTTTGTTTTATATTGATAATAGTTTTTTTTTTCACTTTTAGAAGAAAGAGCACCAAAAGTTAGAAATCTGTACATTTTTTCTAGAAAATTTTGAGAATTCTACATTTTTTGAAAGAAAAATTTTAATGTACATACTGAAAAGTAATTATTTGAGTACAAATCAGTTCTAGAAATATAGAATGTAAGAGCTGTGAGATCATATAAATCCTTGATTTTTTAAAGGGAGAATAATGAAGCCTACAAAAGCAAATATAGGAGACTATAACTAAGGTCTTGAAAGAGTTGCAAAATGGAAGGAACTTTAAAACTTGCAGTAGTAATCCAGATACAATACATATTTACAGAATCTATCTACTTGGTAAACAACTGGAGTGCTTCTCCCAGTATAAAAGAGTTGACTTATCAGCTATCATAATAATACATTAACTAAGCCAACAGGAACTAGGCAGCAAGGTTAAGATGAAAAGTTACCATGAGGCTGTCAGACCAAGGGAGTATCACAATAAGAGATGAAAATCAAGTAATTGTCTTCTAAGAAAGTATGGGATGGGGGAATAGCAGACAAATGCCTTGAATGTTTTAGATATGGAGAGTCTTGAGATTGAGAGTGGTTAAATTGGCCATTGAAAGACAAATTTTATACATGGCCAAATCTTAGAATAATGCTCCAAGGAGAATAAATATCAGATATAGAGAATATGGATTTGGGGTGGAGGATACTCCCACCCCTGTCCCCTCTGGCAACCGCCAATTTATTCTCCATATTGATGAGCCGGTTTCTGTTCTTTGTTTGTTTGTTCATTTGTTTTATTTTTTAGATTCCACATATAAGTGAAATCATGTGGTATTTGTCTTTCTATGACTTATTTCACTTAGCATAATACCCTCAAGGTTTATCCATGTTGTTGCAAATGGTAAGATCTCATTCTTCTTTATGGTTGAGTAATAGTCCATTGTATATATGTGTAAATATATAAATATAGATATATACCACATCTTCTTTATTCACTCATCTATCAATGGAAATTTAGGCTGCTGCCATATGTTGGCTATTATAAATAACGCTGCAATAAACATGGGGTGTATATTATCTTTTCAAATTAGTGTTTTTATTTTCTTTGGGTAAATAACCAGTAGTAGAATTACTGGATTATATAGCATTTCCATTTTTAATTTTTTGAGGTACCTGCTTGGGTCTTTATCATTTCAGGTGATGCCTCCTTCCCCTGAGGGGAAGGTCTGAGATCCATTCACTCTCTCAGCCTTGGTCCTTCCCATTGCAGGCTCTCTCCTTCTCCAGGGGGCCTCTGACGAGATCCCCAAGTGGCTGATGCTGAGTCTTCCCAGGAGATAACATCCCTATAAGAGAAAAGAGAGGAAGGAGTGGCCAGGAGGAAAAATACTAGTGGTTTCCAACACTACTCGGTTCATACTAACTCCACATGGGATCTCTTGGAGTTTATAGAGTCACATATATGCATTCACACATATTTAATACTGATAACATTTCTTTTCTAGAAAATAATGAACATTTCTAATTTTTGAGTGATTACTGATGGATAGTTCTTCTTTCTCTGGTGAAAACCGTGATATAATAAGTATAATTACTAATACTTCTTATCCAGACAAAAGCATATTTCAAAGTATAGAGGAAGAACTGTTTAGTGAAGCTGAGAGTAATTTATGCCTTAGAAAAAAATGGTTTATGTCCTTTTTGGCATTTATGCTAGCCAAGGAGTAGAGAGTAGACATAATCAGATGTGTAACAAAAACTTCTGGGAAGGTAGATTTCAAAAATTTTTAAAGAACTGTGGATTTGTTCTTAAAGATGGGAGACAGGACCATGCCATCCTGATTACCAACAAGGCAAAAGTTGTTGCTGTTAACTGTACATGAGTGAGTGAGATGTCAATCTTGGGCCAGATTCTAGAATGGACTACTTTTACTAAAAGTACATGTCTACTAAAAGAAGACAATTCAATAGACCTGAGTTAATGAGTATCCAAGAGCTGCTTTCTAATGCAAGAATGTCAACTTGAAGAAAAGTATCTGGAGAGAGGAACCTATTGACTACATTATCAATGATTTTAGATAAAAATATGGAGGGCACTATCATTAAATATGTATATAGCATATGTATGTGATAGATGACAGAAGTCATGGCAATTTAAAACAGTAAAAATCTAACGAGATAGAAATTCACAGGGAAAATTTTCCATATTTTTCAGTGTGACAACATAGGGATTACTAAGCTATAGCTCACAGAAAAATATTTTGAATGTTTATTGGATAGTAAGCTCAGAATGTTTCAGCAATGTAATAGGGCAATGCAAAACAAACTCTGCAGAGCAGCTTGCATTTCTATAAGAACCACATGAGAACTGCTCCTGTCTACCCAGCAGCATCTGCAATAGAGCACTGAATTCAGGTAATAGAGTTTAATACCTCTATTGGCCAGGGATAGAGAAAAAACTAGTTCATGCTTTTAATCTGAGATGAGTGCCCCGGATAGTGGAAAGACTTCAAGTTTGAGACCTGAGGAAGAGTTGAAGCAAGTGGACAAAGGGAGACTTCAAAAATATAAAGGTTGTCTGGAAGAGTAGCTGGATTTCTACCTCCCCATCTCTAGCCCAATGATCCCAAAAAGCAAATTTTAAAAAGTAGATGGAAGGTACAGGAAGACAAATTTTGGCTCAATCTCAGGAAAAAAAGAATCTAACAGAGAAGTGAGGGGTTATTTAAATATGGAATTTAAATATGGATTTAAATCATCCATGGTTAGAGCCACTCAAGAATGGGCTAGGGGTGCCTGGCTGGCTCAGTCAGAAGAGCATGGGATTCTTGCTCTCAGGATCGTGAGTTTGAGCCCCACGTTGGGTATAGAGATTACATACATACATACATAAGTTAGGAAAAAAAGAGAATGGGCTAAAAACACAATCAAACAAATGGGCTTTTCAGCACCAATGTGTCACAGGGGCCTAAACAATTTTCCAAACCAGAGATACTGTGATTCCCCACATGTAGAGGAAACCACATTATGTCAAGGCTCTTGCTGTGAGAATTTCTAATTAGTTATTTTAGGGACTATGATCCTGGAGATTGTTGTGAAAGATAACAGAGCTAACAGAATTAGTTGCGTTGTCACAGCACGTGTCTTATGCTCTAAGCCATGAGGAATTCTTGGCCGTGTGCTTGGTGTCTTCCCCATTTGATGGTAAGCTGTCTTGTGGAGGCACCATATCTTACTCATATCAATTCACTTGCTTAGAAGGGTCCATTTTATTAGCCTCATTTCTTTTAAAATCTCCCAGAATTTAAACTACTCACCACTGTCATTTTATATCATGTTTATCCAGGCCAAAAGTATAAATTAAGCTGTGTCCTCATGGTCTGTAAATTAATGTGGTTTAACTGCACAATCATATAAATCGAGAGGAAAATACTCTTCTGAAAATGTACCTCTTTGAATCTGTGGTTAAAGAACATGGATGAAAATGTAAGCATAAATAACTTGTCAGAATAAATGTCAGTAGTTTCCTCATAAGGTCTTAAGTTGTCACAAGGCACACATTAACTTCTTATAAACAATGAATTTCCTCTATAAGCTACCATTTTTAACCCAAAGCTGCCAAACCCAAATAATAAAAGCCATATGGTGAAGAACAGTGAATGCTGTAGCTACGTCTACAGAAAATTACTGCAAGAGGGCAGCCTGGCTAACTCCCTGGGCTCATGGTAATGGCATGTTGTGAAATATTCTATACTTAGGTAAAAAATAACTTCCAAGGAAGATGGGTCAGCTTGACAGTAAGCTGGATTATGTCAATGCCACTTACTTACTACACTTAAAATGAATCACTGTTAGGAACTATGTGAACCCTTTCTCTCTTCACTGTCAACAAGGACAGGAGATGTTCCAAGCTCAAATGGACAATATGTTTGGTGGTGAAATGGTGGGAGAAATACCAGTGTTTTTTCTGAGAGAGAAAAAACAGACCTAACGGCTGTGAGCAATGGTGAATTTCATAGCAGAACTGAGATCACGAGGGCCAAATTTTTACCTCCCTGGTTTCTTTAAACTGGTCTCTGTGGCTGTACCTAAAAGCAGTTTCTGACTGCCTGCTTTGAACCATATGAAATCCTTCTAACTTTACAAGAGGACTGAACACTTGGATCAGCTGGGATCATGTGGTCTGTTTCTGTGGTTCCTCAGCTTCCAATGCAGGGAGTCCTAGAATCAATTGTAAGCAATCCTCTCTTTACCTTAAACTCTGGTCTGCTTTCCCATCCAGATGCTGGCAACACCTGCTACATCCAGGAGTCCTGGGTTCGCCTCTGAATACCCTACAGGTTATCACGAGGGTGACAGTACTGTCTCACGTGTACAGATGGCTGGAACGTGACTGTTACATAAGGTGATTGGGCATGGGAGGGAAGGAGGGAGGGATGGGCAGGGAGCAAAAGTAAACAGAGTTCTAGACAATTCACCTTTCTTTTCTAATGGCATGCCAAGTATTCCAGAATGTCCTTTTTCCTCTTCTCTTCTCCTCCACATCTCCCTCTTCCTCCCTCCACCCCTAAATTTTTCCCTTTTATTCCCCAGAGAGCCCAAGATAAAGATATGGTCAGTCTTGGTCAAAGGGAAACGTTCCTCCCACCCCAGGAGAGGGTGTGACCAGTTGTATCTGGGCTGGAGTACTAAGGTGTTCTGGCAACTTCCTTTTTTTTTTTTTTTTTTTTTGCTGGAAATAGGTCCTCTTTTGGAATGTGCTTTGCTTCTCAGTTCGTGAGAGTTCAGGTCCTCACCTCCTAGGACACAGTTCAATCTTCACTGTTCAGTCAGCCATTTACTTCAGGGCATTGGAGGAATGATTACTAAAGTTGTGGTTAATAATCAGTATACAAATTTAGGTGTTTAGGAGTTGTGCAGGAATCTGGAGTCTCCAGGGTGATTTTCCTTCCCACATGATGGCTTTATCCTTTATATTAGGAAAGAAAAATTAAAATTGATACAGTTAATTGGTGTGGGCCTGGAAATTTTACTATATACATCATCTATACATTTCACTTTCATCAAGAGAACTCACCTTAAAGAATGGAAAAGTGGTCCAGAGGAAATAAAAAATATTAAAAATTACTGAGGAAACTGACCACTAGATGCTAGTTAGGAGGGAAAAAATTATCTTAGTTTTCATAGTGTCCAAAAAGGTTTGGGGGCACAGCTCACATATGGCACTCAGAGAGTAAACCCTTCACAGTGCAATGTCTAGAAGTTATGGAATTTATAACGTAACCAGAATATATAAATGGAGATGCACCATTAGTGAGTGTCAGAATTAAGGACTTGTCGAAGCTTAAAAACAAATGACTGTGAGGAGAAAATCTGACCTATATTGTTTGACTCGATGGTCTCAACAATAGCAATTGACTAAAAGTGCCATGCCCTTTGAACTCTAAAAATTCTAAGAATGAAAATAGGAACACACAGTAAAAGCATTCTGACTTTTTTTCCTAGTCAAAGTGTAAAGTATACACACTTTCTTGTCTTAGTATTTATGGGTACATTTGCAATGGAGCAAATATTCCCCCATTAAAGAAGCCACATCTCTCTGCAAACCTAATACTCTATTGAAGAACTGCTCTTATTTCTTTTAATTTAAATTCAATTAGCCAACACAGAGTACATCATTAGTTTCAGATGTAGTGTTCAACAATTCATCAGTTTTGTATAACACCCAGTACTCTTCTTATAAACCATACTCTATCAGCAATGAGGCTTTATTGGTTCCCATTCATCTATATTTGTAGGTAAGTTTAGAGAAACTTTTCACAGAGTGTTCACTTGTCCCTAGCACCTTGTTAGGGACATAAAGGGGAGTAAATTACTGTCCCCTGTCCTCAGAGAGTTTGCAGTCTTATTGAAGATTTAAGATTTACATGTATTATTAAAATAGTAATTAGTATAAGTGATTTACTCCAGGCTGACTGTATCTTACAAATACCAAGTCAATGATTCTCAAATATTAGTATGCATGAAAACTATGTAGAAGGCCAACTAAACATGAAGCCATCTTTTGACCCAACAGGGCAGGGCTTCTGTACCTTCGTCCAGCACTCCAGATTATTTGGCTGTAGTTGGCCCAGTGAGACTCCTGGGTGGGTGTGTGGAAAGTCATGAATTATCAGGACAGATCTGTAGAAGGCAGCAGATTTGAGATGAGTCTACAAGTCACACTTCAAGGTTTGTGGGATTTAAATATAGAGAAGGGAAGCATATTCTTGAAAGAGGGAAAGGCCTGAAGAAAAGCACAAATTTGGGAGCAAATGTGGTATAAGACAGAGATACCCAGAAAACAAGGCTGAGAGAAGCATGTAGGATATCCACATAAAAGCTGATTTCCACTCCCCTCAGGTTGACTGTCTACACAACTTACTTATCCTGGACAGTCTAACTTCTTTATGAAGGTACTCGGAGTATATACAGTAGGAATCTTTCTTTCTCTTTATGCTTATGCTTGAACCCAAGTTTCACATGTTATGTTCAACCATAAGGCTCAAGGAACATAAAAAAAAGCAAACCCTAGAGCTTCAGTTTCTAAGCCAACCAAATCATGTGTCTATATACAAATTCTAGATCTGATGATTTAGTGTTTAGTGTCACATTCATAGTCATTATGGTAGACATATGGCATAGTACAAAAAAAAAAATCATTGCCTTAGGAACCAGAAAGAACAGGATTTACATCATTATTATATCATGTAGTACCTGGGACATTTTACATGGCCTCTTTGAATTTTAGTTTCCAAATCTATAAAAGAGAAATAATTATAACAATACCTATAATTACAATATCTTGTATTGCGTTTTGAAGCTTAAATGAGGTGGTGGTGTAAATTCCCTGGCACATAGTAAATAACTGTGAATGAGTGAATAATGTTTCTAATATCTTTATATTTGTAAAGGACATGTTTTAAATGAAGCAATCCATGATTATGCCTTGATGTAATTCATTTTAGGTCAAATAGGTCAAATATAACACAGTTGTAACATATTAAGAGAGATTTATGTTTTTCTGTACCAAGAAGAGGTGCACTTTGACAATTGTAGAGCTGGTTAACAATATGCTGTGATTTGAAGGACACCTTAAGATATGTTTCCAAGGGGGCCAAGGTCTCCCATTACGAGTGTCATTCTCTGGTGACCCCTGGGGAGGTATGCAGCTCACATCAGCCATTCATGCTTAGCATTAAGTATCCTGTCAGATCTCTGCTCTATGTGACAGTGAAACAAGAGATTGGCTGGACATAAAGGAAAGGTGGGACCATTTTGTAATAAGGGGCACCCACAGAAGACTGAGCTGGCTAGAGGGAGGGTCCTGCAAGCCTTAATCTGGTGAGGAAAGTACCAGAATAGAGAGAATAGGGCACGGAAAGGAGGCACTGACAAATGTCAAGAGTTTCCCCTTCAATCTCTGTCTGGTTTCAGTGCTACTGTTCCCTCATTTCTGTTAAATGTCACACAAATGCCTTTTCATTTTGGGTGTCATCTCATAAAGTAAAAACCTCTAAGATAAGAAAGTGAGGCTCAAATGCTCTCACCAGGTGGCCTAAGGAAATTTAAGAACAGAAGTGGTTTCTTAAAAAAAAAAAAATCATGCAATGAACTATACAGGGTGTTATATAGGAAAAAAACTATTGAAACAGTTTGAGTAACTCTGTTCCTTTAAGGTTTTTTTTTTTTTTACATTTTTTATTATTATTGCTCCCTGTTCATTACTATCATTTGCAATTACCTTCTCTTTTTTTCACCTAAGAAATCCAAGATGTAATGTGCCTTTATGGTTTGGAGACTTTTTTTTTTTCCTGTTTACTCTGCTGATTTTCCTGATGTATCTTTAGAAATTTAGACAGAGGGGAAAAAAATGCTTTCTCATCTACATTGATAATATGGTGAGTGTTGGTGAAAGAATTTTCTTCTTTGATAGGAAAAGAAAGCAGAGTTACATTAGTGTGGAATTAGAAATAAGGTCTAAATGCTAACCATAGATTACATCAGAGTAAGGTTACTTATATGGAGAGAAATTGACTATAAATTGTAGAAAGAAATGTGTTCTGTTATACCTATGCATAGTAGTTGTTTAGTTGAAGAGTATTGGGTTATTAATTTACTACATAATGAGAAACAAACCAGACTCCTTAGCTCTGAGCAGTATTAAAATACATCCTCCAGGGGCGCCTGGGTGGCTCAGTCCTTAAGCGTCTGCCTTTGGCTCAGGCCTTCTCCCACTCCCCCTGCTTGTGTTCTCTCTCTTGCTGTGTCTCCCTCTGTCAAATAAATAAATAAAATCTTAAAAAAAAATAAAATACATCCTCCATATCACTGTTAGAACTATACCCATCTTTACACGTGCTTACACACACATATACATACACCCACACACACACACTCACCCCTTGGATGGCCCCAATGACCCATCTCTGTGCAGATTCCTTGTTAATTATTTAGTCAATATCAGCACAATAGTATCAACTCAATCCTGAAAGAGTGGAACAGGGAAGGGCTTATATAAGGCTTTATGATAACTTTTGGTTTTCTATCAAAAGAGGCCATAGGGTTCAAGAAATATACAGAACTTTGCTTTCAAACAGTAGATAAATCATTTTGCAACTGAATGTGGTACTGGGGAGAAAAATGCTGCTCAACATCAGAAGCAGTGTTATTTATCTTTTCAATGAGTGCAGAGAATTCCTGAATGAGAGAGGTCCAGAGAATTCCTGAATGAGAGAGGTCAGGGGCACTTCTCTGAGCCAAACTTCATGTAGGCAGTGTAGAGGGTTGCCTCAACACATTATCTGAGAAGCCCTAGAAAAATCCATCTGTACCAAAACCTTTACCTTTCACACTGCCATACACTGAAATTCCTACTATTGGAATTGCTATTTCAATTCACACACTGAAAATGCACTTTCTTAGGAAGACCATTGGAGGCATCCGGTAGAGATTGCCCGAGGCACCACCCAAGTGCAGAGCCCAGAAGTCAGGGGATGTCAGAAGGGCCAGAGGAGCCTCACTGTGGGCAAACTTAATGAACCTCACAATTTTGCCTTCTCCTAGATACGGCCAGTCAATATTCTAGTTAATGTGAACAAATTAAGTAGGGAAAGAACAGTTGTATCTTTCACAAGCCACACTAGCAAGTGGAATGTGATTTCTTGCAAACACTCTTGGGCTTATCTCTCCATGTTAATTGTGACAGTAAAACAATAAAAATCAAGATTTAATTTTAACTCATGTTGATCAGTCTAGGGCAGTAAATGATGATGACGGGCTGGAGAAATATTAATCCACATTGGCTATTTAACATCTGCCTTATTTTGAGGAGAGCACTATCAAAGGCTCCTGCTCAGGACAATG